CAAAGACTTTTGTGGGCCGTGATTAGCACGACCTAAAAACTTCACTATATATATATATATATATATATATATATATATATATATATATATATATATATATATATACTTATAAAGCTAGCATTTTTTCTTGAATCTCATGCATTTGAAACCCCATTTTTTAAGTTCCTCAAACCACAATCATTTGAAACCCCCTTTTTTTAACTAATGCAACTCAAAAATTTTCTTGATTATGATTTAACACTCAAAAGTGTTATAACTTATATTATATTTAATTAGCATTTAGTGAAAAGTTTACTATAAAAAGATCAATCTTTTCGGAAGACATGCATACAAATCATATACAAATTTCAAAAAGAATACAAACTTAAAGGTTTTTGTGTTGGGTTGAGGACTTGTGACCACTTTTGAAGATATGTTACTATATTAGAGCTTTTAATTTGTAAGTTTGTTATACTAATTCGTCAAGATTGTTGATGAATGTATCATTTTTACTTATAGTTTGATCTCGTTATATTTTTTTCCCAGTAGTATAAATTAGACCATTCAAAATCGTATGTTTAGAGATATTTTGTTTACTCAAACCAAACCATTCAAAATCATATGCTTAGAGATATTTTGTTTTATTAAACCATATTGATTTGAAACCTACATAACTTTTTATATTCCTTAATTAATAACATTTATAATATTTATAAGTTTCTAATAATTTGTTGCATTCTCTTATTATATATGTAGTTATATCAGTACATTTTTCTTACAAAAAGTCGTCATTTGGTTTAAAATATTGTGATTCAAAAGTTTTCATATAGTTGAAGCATCCACGATCCAAATATGATGATTTGAAGAAATGGGTTATGTTGCATCGATGATAATTGTAATATGATTTTTCTTTCAACCTAAACAAATGAAGTTTTTTTATTCTTTCTTTATATTCAATTTCTCATTTAATCTTTATATGTGATTTGTGTGTATTACTCAATCTTGAATGTGACTCTCCAAACATAAATGTTTTGCATGGAATATCTTTTCAATTCTTTTTTTTTTCAAGAAAAACATTTTGATTGCAGGTTAGTGAAGAACTGTCATCAAGTTTGTATGGTTGAATGGTGTTAAATGAAGGAAGAAGATTCAGAAATCGGATGTAGGTTTTCTTGTTTGAGCAAAGTAGACTAATGTTAGTTTTTTCTTTTGATTTAAATGTATATATATATATATATATGTGTAACATTTTTATTTATATATTCAACCACCCAAAGTTTTTATTTATTTGATTGTAGTTTTTCTATTTTGATTATGTTTATTTTATATTATTTTTTTGTTAGGTTATCCTACATAACATATTTACAAGATAATGTTTAAACGATAACATAATTTTTAACATTGATATGTAATTATGATTGGCTTATCATGACATGTTCTTTATATGAAAGTAATTTATCCATATTACTACAACAAGAATTACATATGACATTTATGAAAATATATATTATATGTGATTTGTTTAACATATATATGCACCTATGTATGTAATAAATTTATAATAAAATATATTTATATTTAATAATTGAAGGGATTAAAATGATGCATCAAAACCAATTATTTATAATAATAATAATAATAATAATAAATACACATTTCCAAGTACCGCATTTATTTGAAATTCACACTACAACTCAAGAGTTTTCTAATTTATGTATATTTTTTAGTTACAACTCAAGAATTTTTAACTTATGATTATTAATTAGTAATCACTAATAGCTTTTTATTTTCCATTTTTTTTATAAGGTTGTAAAGTTTTGCTCATTAAAAACATTAATGTATTTGAAGAGATTTTTGATTTATAAATGAAGAGTTAATATAAATGTTATAACATATTTTTTTAGTGTTTTTATGTTAATTTGGTAAAAGTTATTATTTTAAATATATAATTGTATTCTTGCGCAACGCGCGGATATTCGTCTTATATATATATATATATATATATATATATATATATATATATATATATATATATATATATATATATATATATATATTAGGTAGGTAGGTAGAGGTTCATTTGAGACCACCTATATTTTGTGAGACATGGGGACCAAATCTGAGCCTTTGATCAAAACTGATCTTGTGGCTCATAAGAAAACGTGATTAACACTAATTAATCTAAAAAAAATAGTTAATTAGGGGTAGATTAGTCACCAGGTTAAATTTTAGATCATCAGATCTATTATCTTCACATTATCACAAAACCCAGCTGCTTAGATTCTTTCTACCCATTCACACTAATCGATCAACATTCCTTAATCTTCAATTCATGCTAATCAATATTCTTTTTTCTTTGATTTGAGTGATTGAGATTTATGTTCATCTATCGACATCAATAATTCATTACAATATTTTTATCGATTTTAGCTCTGTGATCATCGATTTCATCCAAGGTAGAAGTTCAAGCGTTCAGTCGATTTCTGCTAATCTTCATCTTCAACAATTCCTAACGATCTTTCAAGCTGTGCTTTTTACTCTACATCATGATTTTATTAATTGATCAAGGTTTGATTTTTCTTCCCCGGAGTTTTCATCACTTTCAGATCAATGATTTTTAGCTATTCATCAACATTGGTAATCAATCATCAACTAATATCGATGTCCATCACATTGATGCTTCGAGTTTGATCTCAAACCAGGTGTTTTATCAATTTAAATTCATATTAAATCTATTATCATTTCAAGTATTTGATTTCAGCCATCGATTATTAATTTCAAGATTTTGGTTTTCTCTATGCATTCGAGCACATATTAAATGATGATAAGCAAGCAAAAACAACGTATCTATGTGTTTTTTTGTGGTCATTTTATAAAATCAATGAGGTATGTATATAACTATTATTGTTCTTGAGCCAATTCTCTTACATTATACGTGTACTCCACTTGTTTGATGAAAGTCCTGAATAACTAAAGAGTCTGATGTAGAGTCTAATATATCACTCCTTCCTTCCCACCCTTAAACTTTGTTACTATTTAATGATATTGACCCTAAAGTCCAAGCTGATTTTTATTAAATTAGTGATGATTGGTGTACTTCTTTTTTCAGTGGTTGAAGGACATACAACTATCATCTATGCAAATGTTCAGTGTATATGTTGGAAGAAGCGTATCATCCCTATCTTGCCACCATTAATTAATGATGATAACTTCAAGATTCAAGAAGCATATTGACATGTTGGTTTCAATGGTTCTTAGTCCATGCTAAGAAGTTGATGGATGATGAGGACTTAGTTCATCTTTAGAATCGAAATCTACAATGAGGATGTTGGTTTAATTTACTCCCTACACTCTCTTTATTTCTTTCTTGATGAAATTGTTCTCTACATTTGTGCAACTTTAAACATTGTTACTGCAGTAGATATATATCCTAATACCCATCAAACCCCTTTCATCCCTCTCAGAGTATAAAGTGGTACATATAATTATTAAATTAGCTAAATCTTTCATGTCTTCTATCATTACAACTTTTTAGGTAAGTCTTGAATGGAACTGTAGAGAATGTGGCTCGATAATAATTTTATGTAGTTTCTCATTCAATGTAGTGGGATGTTGTAAATTTGCTTATATTTTTTTTTTTGTTTGGTTTCAAGTGATGTATTTGAGGTAATTGAATAAAACGATAACACTATATTCTAAGTTTTTACTTTTACATTGGTATGTACAAATAAACTGTGCATTATTTTAATTTTCTTACATATATATTGCTATATTCTAGTTTGATATTTGATGTTCATATAATCATTTAGTGTTACATTCTATTTAGAATGTTCTACATATACAAACATCCTATAGCATTATTTTGTAAGAATATTAAGTTGTAACTTGAATATAGACAATCTAATTAAATTATTCTGTTAGAATGGTATGTATATTCAAAATGTTAAATATAACATTAGAATCTTACTTAATATAAGTTCATTTTATATGTTATAACACAATTTAGAATATTACACTTTAATATTATAATATTCCATACAATTTCATAATATTGCGTATCAATTAACAACATATTAGTAAATACTGTAACCTTGTGATATATTTTTTATAATACAAACTTGAAATTTGGTTTTTAATCTATGAGGTTTTTAGAATACGTTTCAAATTCGAGAGAAAAGTTTGATATTTATCCTAAAAGTATTCATTTCATTTTATAAACTTATATGTTTCTCACTCGTTTAAAAAGTTTATTAGTCTAGGTTCCTACGTATTATTTAGTTTCCTACACACTTGAAGGGAATGATGGTTTGAATTAGAATAGTTCATATTATAATATAATATTACATCATATTACAATCTTTCAGATTATTACACATTAACATTATAAACATTTCTTTTCTGTAAATCAATTTTTTTCTATAGACTATTCTATATATTCCTATAACACTATAAGTTGTAAATTCAGAATATTACATAATATTTCATATAATATTAGAATCTTACATAATGTAAGTTAATTGTACAGATTACAACATAATTTTAAAGGGCAAACATCTTTTGTATGATGATTGCAGTGTATTCTTATATAATCTTACATAATTTTTGCATTGAAGTATATATGAATAGTCTTATGTATGATAATTACTGTATAATGTTTTGTTACCAAATTATTATAATACAATATTATACATATAAGAATATTATATGAATATTATATTGGTATATATATGCAACATCTTTTATTATTCTAATAGAATAATGATGCCTTTAACATTATTTTATTAGAATATTTTAATATTTTTTTGTTTACTATAGAATATTCTACCATGACCATTAAGAAGTGATCATAATACCAACTATTCATTAAGCATTAATCACCTAATAAACCATATCAAGTTTCTTACATAATACTAGACAACATTTTTTTATATAATTTGTTCAAAATAAAATAGATATTACAAAAGGAATTGTTGTTTAGTCACCATAACCACGTTTAAGTAATTCCAAACTTCTATCAAATCCTATTTATTACCCTTTTCTCGACTAGAAAAAAGTGTAGTTGAAAATATGTCTCTAAACTTCCTTATCATCTCCTTCATTCTATTATCTTCATAGAATTTCGATAGACAATGCAAAATAATATCTTCCATATTATCCTTTTTAGTTGAGACATTATTGAAAACTGTTTCATACTTTACTTCATACTCCTGGGGAAAAAAGACATTAGAATATTTTTCTTATATTAATTTAGGACATAATTCAAATATATTCTAAGACATAATTAAATAATATATTCTACTTAGAATATACCTCAATACGTATGTCCTGGTTCTCATTCTTATCACGTTCTAAATTTGAACTTTGTTCAATTAGATTTCCAACCCCAAATCCACAAGCTTCAATCTCAAAAGATTGTCTTTCCTTCAACTTATCTGTTGTCCACATCGTAACTAATGGTGTTTTACGTTCTATTTTTGGAGCTTGCATTCAATTTCATCACAGTAAATTCGCTGCATTATTTCAACATCATATTAGATATCCATTTTTAAGAAAAAAATAAGTATATGAAAAAACATACCAACATCAACAACATCGGGCCTCTGTAATAACACTTGGGGTTGTCTGGACGCCATCTCCCTTTTGAATTTTTCACACAGTACAACAAATACGCACACCAATCGATTTTAGAAATGTCATCTACTTTAACAAGTGCTCTAACTGGAACTAAGTTGTTTGTCCCCATAGGAATGGATTCTGCAAACGTATTAACAAATAAAGCTATGAAACCCAGCTTGAAATTCATATCCACTTGTTCGGATTTTTGAATAATCTTCTTGTAGTTTGTTGCATTTGCCTTTCCACCTTCAAGTTCCTTCATCCATCCATCAAACACTTGATGATCTTCGCTAACCATGTCCAAGTCAAATAAGCTTTTTCCAGTTTTGGGCATGGTTGCGGAAATCGGGATTAATCGGCGATTAATTGTGGATTAATCGTTTGACATTCTCCAACCGTCGATGATTAGGGCATTAATCGGGAATTTAGGATTAATCGGGTTGAACGGGATTAATCGGCCTGGGTGGGATTAATCGGTCAACAAAAGTCAAAAAAATTGAAAAAAGTCAAAAAAAATTTAAAAAAAATTCAAAAAACCAACTTTCTTTTTTTACTCCAAAATTTTCAAAATTTCAAAATTTCAAATATTATACCAAAATGTTCAAATTTTCGTATTTTCAAATTTCCAAATTACAATTTTTCTTATTTTTTAATTTTGAAGTACTTGTTTTTCTTAAGATATATTAATATTTAATTAATTTTAATATTTTATTAATAATCTATGGTCTCCAATTAATCATCGATTAATCCCCGCGAAGACCGATTAATCTCTTAACACTAGTCGACCGTCGAGCTACCGTCAAGCGATTTTTACAACCTTGGTTTTGGGTAAACCAAACACTTTATGAATTTTTTCCTTTGTGATCTTTATTCTTTTTCCTTTAATCAGAATACTGTTTGTGCCTTCATCATAATGCTTAAGCACAAAATGGCAAAGTTTTAAGGGAATACTCTTAATGTTGATCTTCAAAAATGCTTTAAATCCCATCCGTTTCAACCAATCTTTTTGTTCTGATGTCAAAGAACTTACAACATCTATCATCAATCTAGGTGTCGATCTAGTGTTTATTGAAGGCAACTTCTTCAATATATCTTTCACGGTATTTTGCTCTTTGACGTTTTTTGCTTCTTTATTGTTGCACTGTAACGATCGTTTTTCCCGAGGTATAAGTTTATTTAATTCTCGAGTTTTATTTTGGGCTATAATAGATTTAGTTGAGAGTGGGCCTTTTGTTGGACCAAGATGTATTCTACCCATAAGTCGTACGCGGGGCGTAACCCGTTGTACGCTAGGCGTAATGGGTTTAATGAATCGCGTGGAGGAGGGGCGTACGCGCAGCGTACCATAGGGTACGCCCAGCGTACGCGGACAGGGGGAAAGACCCTGATTTTAGGGTTTGAGATGTATTTAAACCCCATTATAGCCACCCATTTGGCCTCCTCACTTGTCATTCACCCTAGAGAAACCCTAGTTCGTCCCCTTTGCTCCTTGCTTGTGTGTGTTTGACCTTTGAGCTTATTTTTGTGAAGAAGAAGAAGAAGAGAAGTGGAAGAAGGAGAACTTGAGTGCCTTGAGCTCATAGATCTGGGATCATTCCTTCATTTGGCATTCAAAAGAGGTATAAAGCTTTCAACTTTCCTTTTGTAAGTTTAGATCTAGGAGTTTTGGAAGTTTGGAGCTTTTTAGGTCCAAAGGAGGAACCTTTATCTTACAACTTCATTTTTGGAGCTTAGGATTGCTATCCTTGAAGCTCAAGTGTCCCCATAGCAGTAAAGTTTTGATCTTTGAGACTTATTTGGAACCATGCATGAGATCTAGTTAGTTTTATGGAAGTAGAATGTTATTTGTGAGAGTTTGAGTCTTTATGAGACTTGTAAGCCATCAAGTAAGCAACTTTATGGCTCAAGTCATTGAATAAGCCTAGGATCTGGAATTGTAGCTTCTGGATCGGATTATGAAGCACTTAATGAAAAGTTGGCTTAACAAGGCTGTAATCTGGGCGTACAAGGAAGTACGCGCCGCGTACAGACCACCAGCCAGTACGCTTAGCGTACCTTGGTGTACACCCCGCGCACGCCACCATTTTGGGCTTCGTGTGTTGGGCCTCAGTGTGGGCTAGGTTTTAGGCTTAGGGTCCTTGGGCCTTTATGGCCCATCAGAATTCAGATGCTAATGACCAAAGTTTTGGTATTGGGCTTGAGTAAGGCCCAATAAAAGGATTTAGGCCCAATAAAAGGATTTAGGTCCAATATAGCAAATTGGGCCATTAGTGGGCCTATAGTGGGGCCATAGATGGACTTAGAAGGAATTGAGATTTGGACCATGTTGTGTCCCACACCATAATAGAGGTAAAATGGTCATTTTACCCATAGAGGAATCCCTATTCTGATTTAGTGTTTATTTCCCATTATAGTTGGGAAGCAGCCGTCAGGGATTTCTTATTCAGGATTTCAGCAGTTAGCGTCACGAGGTGAGTTTCCTTCAAGTAGGAACGGGTCTAAGGCCACAATGCCAGCCCGTTTAGCTAGTAGTAGTTTCCGGACTTCGGTCCAATGCAGTTTTAGTATGTTTGATGCCTTCGTGGCTCAGACAGGATTTATGTGTTATGTGTCCCGGGCTACAGCCCGATGCAGTATACAGTTTATGTGCTTATGTTAGTTCATATGTTTATGCTATGCTATGATATGCTTAGTCAGATTCCGGATTTCGGTCTGATGCAGCTAATTTCGGTCTGATGTAGGGGACAAGGTCCCAGTCAGTCCCGGACTTCGGTCCGATGCAGTTTCCGGACTTCTGTCTGATGCAAAAGGCAAGGCCCTGGTTAGTTCCGGACTTCGATCCGATGCAGTTTTCGGACTTCGGTCCGATGCAGTGGGCAAGGCTAACTATGTGTTTATATGTTATTGTGTGGTATGTGATAGTTTGGGGGAGCTCACTAAGCTTTGTGCTTACAGTTTTAGTTTTGGTTTCAGGTACTTCCGCAAGTAAAGGGAAGAGCTCGGGTTGATGGCATCGCACACATCACCGCTTCAGTTGTCATGGGAGTTGTGTTCTTTAGATTTTCATGGATGTGATTTGATACAGCTTTCTATTGTTTTAAAATATTGACGTACGAGTTTTACTTTATGATATTAATATGGTGTTTTTAGTAATTATTAAACAAAATTTTTGGGTCGTATTTTGGGACGTTACATGCACAATTATCCCCACTATTACTCTTTCTTTTTGCTTCTTTATTCTTTCTCACTCCTTTAACATATTTTCTATCACCGATTCTCCTTTTTACATAGATTTCTTCATCAGATTTATCATATAATTCATTACATCAGTCATAAATGTTAGTAACACCACAAAAATCCAAAAATCCTATATCATCTAATTACAAAGTAATATTCCAAAAGAATATTATACATATATACTTATTATATCATAATATTTGTATGGATCAAATGGGTGTTTTTGTGTGCTGAATGAAAAAGAATGAAAAATTTCATTCCTGCCCCTCCGTGTCTTGATCTAATACCAAAGTTCCATTCAGTTATTCTATTAGAATAAGATTAATAGAATGTAGAAAAACATTAATAGAATATATAATATTTTATTATAATACATAGAATAACAGAAACAAATGAGATAAATATTTTATTAGAATAAAATAACTAATAATGTACCTTTTTTTCTTTTTTCTTTTGAAGTTGTAGCTGTTGATTCATCGATAGACTTCAATGATTTTCTTTTTTGAACCAACCATTTGCCTGTTGAAGTTTCCACTTAATTACTTCTACCCGTTGTCATCATTTTTATTTTTGATTTTGTCATTCTTGTTATAATATTAGCTGCATGAAAATAATTAATATTAGTACAATAGTTGCATAATATTATAATTATAAACTATAAAGTCAAAGATTGAGCTTAAAAGTGTAGCAGTTTAAAAGTATTTTCTTCATTCTTTAATTAATCATCATTTTTCCTTCATATGTTATATGTTCTGTTTAGAAAAATAAAAAAATCTAATCATAATACTTATACCAGGGAATTGTTACCTAATTTCATCTTTCAACTAGGTACCAGTCAAACGATTCTAAAAATCTCTCAAACCAGCCATTTTTGAAACAGAGGTAAAATCTTCAATACTTTGCAATGCATTTGCACAAGGTCCTTACTCCTGCTAGTTTGATTACTACCGATTTTGCAGATTAATTTAATGTTATTTTCTACATTTTCGCTTGCTTCTTGAAGGTATGGTATAGCTTGCATCTTATTTCATTTCGTTTCACCTATTTTACTTTATGATCCTAATAATGGGTATTTGCCTAACTCTAATCACTAATAGTATGTAGATTTGGAGAATGGAGCAACGATAGAAGATCAATTCTCGAATCAACATCTTTGTTATCAAACAAGAACAATGATATATAATGATAATTAACAAAACTATTGAAAATACTTGGAATTTCTTGAGAAGTTTTGGTAATAATGTCATTTAGATGATCTGATGGTGTAGATTCTGAAGCACATGTTGATATATCCATTTTCTTTGATAGAAATATTCGATAAGAATCAATGTAAGTAAGTTTAGGGTTTTATCGAGGGATTAAAGTGCAGAACTCCACAAATGAAATCGATCCAAAGAGTAATCGAAGATGACGAGTTCAAAATCACAAGAAGTTTGTGTTCTAGTTGATTGTCGAGGGTTTTCATGTAACAATCGGAAGATGAATTTCAGGAAGCAGAACGATGATTGAGATTTGGATCAAGTGAGTTTTAGTGTTCGTATCTAGGGTTTTTAGGAAGAATACCGGGAGTTTTTGTGTGCTGAACAAAAAAGAATGCAAAATTTCATTTCTGCCCCTTTGTATCTTGATCTAATCCCAAAGTTCCATTAATTTACAAAAATATCACCGCCTATTTTATGGTTTAATCTAAATTAATATCAACCTTTGATTATTCAATATGAGTGGTCAAGATTTGGTCTTCCCGTCTCACAAAATCTAGTGGTTTCACATGAACCTAACCCTATATATATATATATATATATATATATATATATATATATATATATATATATGTGTGTGTGTTGAACAGTTGGGTTTTGTTTCTTGTTACTGTGATATGTGATAATGAGTACTAAGACTACTATTAGCATCAATTGCCACCATTTCCCAATGAAAATAGCATCTTCAACATAAAATAAGTGTGTACTCATTACATCCGAATCCGCCCACCCATGTCGACTTAAAAAACCGTAAGTAACCATTTTTTGCATAGCCAAATGCAAACATTTCATAGTTACGATAAAGGAGAACATAGAATTAGTGAGATTAACCGTCAGTTTTCTTTAATTTCGACTCATCTCTAGTTTTCTTTAAAGTCATACGCTCATGGCCCCTTTTCTAACAAAAATACCCTCAAAGCATTACCAGGTAAAGTCATAGATGTGTAACCGATTCTTGATTTCTTATCATTTTCCGTAAACAATTTCCACATTTTCGTTCTATTCTGTTTTTTTTTTTTTATAAATCCATAACTTTATCGTTAATAAGCCCATTATATATGGACTTTTCTAAGGATTCCTCATACTCAAAAATAGGTTGTTCATCATCAATTTATGACAAACACAGATAAAGATTTAGATATGTACTCGTGTAATTTACATCCCTACTCAAGGTTACATTATTCTTGGGACTTTCACAGTATATAAAGAATTATTTTATATTATTAAATCTTGCAAGAAACTATAAACCTCTCTAGCAACTAAATGAGGGTATTCTTCATGTGGAAGTAAAGCTCCTTGAACCTCAACAAACTTAGTAACACCTTTAGCTTCTCTAAGAGCTTCCATTTCTGCTTTCGACCTCTTTGGTGCACCAGAGGTCGACACAACTAAAACCGCTACTTTACCCTCTAACCCTTCAAACAGTTGAACAAACTCTTCACGGGTCTTCACCGGGTCAAGTTGACCCGTTAAGAAAGCAGCCGGGACATAACGGGCCCCTTTCTGTTTCGTGAGCTCGTATCTACTTTCAATTATGGCAGGTGTCACGTTTGCTGAGTCAGCATACACGTGGGATTTATATTGGGATTTGATGGATTTCTTGTTGCTTACTAGTATATTATACATCATCCAACCTACACCTGGGGCCCTTAACGTCTCTCTAAGAAGTCCATATCTGTAAAATAGTTGAATAATATCAGGATGTGAATAGAAACGTTATGAAACCCTCAAATAAGGACCAAAACTGAAAAAAGATTCATTTGGGGGACGAAATTTGTAGATTTGGAAAAGATATACGTGCCTTGTTTCTGTCTTGGAATCACGACCAAATACAATGGGAAGAGGACCAGACCACGTGGGAGCAACAGCAGCAATGGCGGTTGGTTTGACCAAACCCTTTTTAGCAGCACGGATTGCTATAGTCGCAGCATGTCCTCCTCCAATTATCACTAAATCTTTCCCTGTATTTATTCAGAGTACACAATTTATGAAAAATAGTTTTTGTAAAAAAGTTATTTTTGAAGCAAACTTGATAAATGTAACACCTATTGGAGTATTTTGGTGAAGGATGAAGTCAACAAGAAAAGATTCCATGACATCAGCATTGTATTCCAGCTTTGGGCGATCGGAATAACCAAGACCAGGCCAATCAACAATGGTGGCTCGCCAATTAACATTTCCAGATTGTTGAAGGATGTCTTTAGCTACCAATCTCCATTCTTCCACTGTGCTCACATCTGAAATAGTTGGCATCATAAGAATATTTTTGGTTGCTGCGTTACTTTCGTCTCCATGCTCCTCGTAATGTATTTTGATAGAATTATCCTTGAATTTCCATTGCCAGCTGCTAGTCTGAAAAATCAATTTAAGAACAAATTAGACCCAAACATGATCACTAGACAACAATAGTAATACTACTCAATGTGCAATTTCTGTGACACCAAATGGGAGTTTCACATTTGGTATAGTGAATTGAAATTGTTGAGAAACTAGAAAGGAAATCAATGTGTATCGAAACTGGGTTTGACATCAAACATAATTTTCCGATTTTATTTGCAAGGGGTGAGGGGATGGATAAGCATTAACACCTTTGTGATTCACAAACAAAATAGGACATAATTGGTTCAGGGAAGATGAATTGAACACTTAATACAATTCAGATTTTCAAAATTGGTCAAGTAAATTGTCGTTGTTTACTCGATTTTTAGAGAAATTGAAAACATATGATTACTGTAAATTTCAAAATCCAGGGACTACTCACAGAAACAAGAACATCGATGAGAAATTTAATGGCGGGAAGGAGATTAACTACTAACCTTTGATGAGATAGATGATTTATCGGTTGAATAATCCAAAGAGGCTGAAGCTTTAACAGTGAAAGACTTCGAATAGAGATTGCGATACCGAGAAAAAACGGCGGGACGAGGGATTTTAGTGGAGAAACCCAAGCTTAATGATGAATAAAAGTGAGGGATGGTAGAGGAAACCATTGACATTTGCAAGATTGTAGAAGAAATTGTTTAAAATTTTGGGGGAAATTTGATACCTAAAAAGTAGTTAGTTGAGTATTTTGGTTTCATGACCACACGAAACAACACAGACGTGTCCGTATTTGGAATACAAGCAATTAGGGGAAGGGTCGCTGAAAAAATCATGCATTTTTATGTCAAAGGTATAGAACAATCACGAAAAGGGAATCTTTTGGTGTTAGATCCACAATAAAAACTTAAAAAGTTAAACTTGGAACTTATAAACAATCTACTAAGAGTATCATAAAAAAAATTAAAAATAAATAAATAAAATTAAAAAAAAAATTTTAAAAAAAAAAAAAAAAAAAAAACTATCATATTATAGATATAAAACGAGTTTTTTGGGTTGAAAATTTTTCTTTAAGAGCTCCAAATTTTTTTTGCTTTTAGAGCATTTAGAATCCATTATTTTGCAATTCAATGGTTTTTAATCATTTTTTCTTTTTCGAACTTTCAGATGTTATCTAATTAAATAATCAAACATATTCAAAGTGATGATTTTTTCTCGACAATACGACATCAATATCAATATTATATTTTTAAGATAAAAAATTATTTAATAATAATGTCACTTAAACTCATATTTCCAGAACATTTTTTTGTCTTAAAAACATATCAATGATAATTTTTTATTTTAAAAAATAAAAATTCTTGATTTTGATACGTTCTTAGATAATAAATATGTTAACAAATGAAAAAATGTATGATTATTCAACTCTCAAAATGATCGGTTCTAGTGTTTTTTTAATATTCGTGTGGTTATTATTTGAATTGTTCCTATATATTGTATTTATTGATAAGTTATATGTTGAATAAATTTTAGTGTTTTCTAATAGTTATTTGAATTTTATATGTGTAATAAATGATTTAAACTAAAATAAGTTAGATGAGTGGAATGCATGCTTATATAAGACTAGCTCAGAGTGAAAGGGTCATGTTTACTTCTTCATCAATGGACATTGCCCTTACAAAGGACATGAGCATAGATAGAAAACTATGGAAGCTTAATTAGGGTAGCAAGTAAAGTGGTATAGTTTAGGGTCTAGCTTCCTTTTCCTTATTAATGCTCATGGCTAGTTTCATTTTCTTATACTTGTTTCTTATTTACTTCCGCCATGTGTACTCGACTACTAGTATCTTCTTTCAATTCACTTCTTATATTTTCTTTATCTTCTTTCAATTCACTTCTTATATTTTCTTTCACAACTTGCATATTTATCCATGTTTTACTTGCTGGCATTGCTGCTCCTCATGTGCATAATTTCTTTTTAGTTTGTTGGTCTAGCTCTTCTTTAGTCATATGCCACTTTAATTTATATTTTATGTCATACCAATATTTTTTATGTAAAGATCTTAATTATGTAGAAATAACTTCAATTTGTGAGCAATTGAGGAATATGTACTTTAATATACTTATTTTTATTTGCATTATTTTCTATTGTTGGAGGTCTCCTACGGAAACATATGCGTCTCAACCCAACGTTACCATCCTATCACACCTTACCCCATTTGTATGGAACGGGGGTAAATTCCGTTGTTGTTTTAGACAACAAAGTTTATCACAAATCAATTATCCGCATAACTCTGAGCATTAATTAATCATCATACAACATATATATATATATATATATATATATATATATATATATATATATATATATATATATATATATATATATTAAACAACAGATACAAATATAGATAAGGTATGCAATTATTGAACTTACATCGATCCCTGATCAAGATGTGATTACATTTTTAGAAAATGTTCCTTTATATTATATTTTGCAAGAAACTATAAATCTCTCTTGCAACTAAATAAGGGTATTCTTCTTGTGGAAGGAGGGCTCCAGGAACCTCCACAAACTTACTCACACCTTTGGCTTCTCTAAGAGCTTCCATTTCTGCTTTCGACTTCTTTCTTGCACTAGAAGTGGATACAACCAAGACTGGTACTTTATCCTCTAACCCTTCAAACAGTTCAAGAAACTCTTCACGGGTCTTCACAGGGTCAAATAGACCCGTCAAGAAAGAAGCCGGAGCATAACGAGCACCTTTCATTTTTGTCAGCTCATGTCTACTATCGATGATGGCTGACGTGACATTCGCATAATCAGCATAGATATGAGATTTATACTGATGTCGCATGAATTCCTTGTTACTCACTGTTAGTTTGTACATCATCCAACCTACAACTGGGGACCTTAAGGTATCTCTAAGCAATTTGTATCTATAAATTATTGAATAGTTAATTAATATCAAAAGTTTGAATATCATGAGATATATGTTGTATAAGTATTTGTCTTATTGTGTAAAGAGATATATATATGTACCTTGATTCTGTCTTGGAATCACGACCAAAATGGATGGGAAGAGGACCAGACCAGGTGGGAGCAACAGCAACAATGGCGGCTGGTTTGACCAAACCCTTTTTAGCAGCACGGATGGCTAGCGTCGCACCATGGCCTCCTCCAATGATCACCAAATCTTCCGCTACATGCATTCGAGTACACAAGATATATGAACACAAAGCGCATAGAGTTTTATAAAAGTTTCCTTTAAATCAAAACCATGCATGCAATATATAAACATATATGTAAACATATATGTAACACCTACTAAGGCTGTTAACTGGAGTATTTTGATCGAGGATGAAGTCAACAAGAAACGACTCCATGACGTCAGCATTATAATCTATTTTTGGCCGCTCAGAATAACCAAGACCAGGCCAATCGACGATGGTGGCTCGCCAGTTAGCATTCCCAGATCGTTGGATGATGTCTTTAGCCACCAATCTCCATTCTTCAACGCTGCTAATATCTGAAATAGCGGGTATCATGAGAATGTTTTTCCTTGGTCCATCACTCTCATTTCCATGCTCCTCGTAATAAATTTTGATAGAATTGTCATTAAACTTCCATTGCCAGTTGCTAGTCTGAAAAATAAATCACGAGATTAATATTTGGTAAATAAATAATTATTACAATAAATTGAATATTGTAGGTGCCATATTGTGAAATGACCAGAACCATCGTTGAATACTTAACCATCTATATGAATACGTTTTAATTTGTGGATTTTCTATATTAATTGATAGTTCACATTATATATAAAAACTTTTGATTTGCTATATTTGTTTTGCATAGAAATAGGTAGTTTTAAATAGGTATGATCAAGAATTTCGCAAAAGATAGTAAGTTCACAAAGATCACTTCAGTGATTTTACAAAGTGATAATTTCGTGATATTTTTGAAAAAAAAAAAAAATAGGTCCTTAAGCTAGAGAGATGACACGTTCCATTTATGTCATTTTAGTTATCATCTAAACATCTTGTTACGAGAAGTGGTGTGTAAACCCTATGGGGTAAGACTTTGTTTCTTTCTTTCCTTTTTGTCCTCTAGCATCTCTTTCTTTTTTGTCCCCTGCCTTGTTAAAATAATAATAATAATAATAATAATAATAATAATAAGTTATCATGTTGTACATTAATAACATTAATTTTTCTCCGTACATAACAATTGATGTTTTAAAATTTATATTGTACAACTATATAATGTATAAATTGTTGTATATAACAAAAAATTATTGTGTACGAATCATTTCCATAACATTATAACAAACATTCAAGCATTTAATACTTTGATTCCCTATCAATAGGAGGAGATAGATTAATTACGTTCTAACCTTTAATGAGACTGTGGATTTATCGGTTGAATAATCCAAAGAAGCTGAAGTTGTGATGGTGAAAGATTTGGTATATCGTGAAAAAGTGGTGTGATGGGGGATTTTAGTGGGGAAATTGAAGCTCAATGTGGAAGAAAAGTGAGACATAGCGAAGGAAACCATTGACATTGCAAGATTGGAGAAGAAAATGTTTAGGTTATGGAGCAAATAAAGCCTAAAAGTAGTTGAATATTTTGGTTTTCGTGACCACGAGAAATACATTGTTCTTAGGAAACACCTTATTAATTAGTTTGATAATAATCTTGGGGTGTATGCAAAGCCAACTTGCAACGTGGGACTCTCAATTAGGACATCCAAATGATTACAATATTAGCATTTATCTCAAATTGGACTCTAAAATATATGAAATGATTTGACAGTACTATTATTAAAATTTATATGGATACTACACCGACTTACTAAATGACTATAATAATAACTTTTATGATAATATTACACTAATTTATCTATCAAGTTGTTTATAAATATTAAAATTTTACTTTAAAAAATAAATGATAACGAAACATCAATATTAATGTTAATCATACCCCTCTCTCTCTCTCTCTCTCTCTCTCTATATATATATATATATATATATATATATATATATATATATATATATATATATATATATATATATATATATATATATCATCGGTGATGATTATTATATTTATTTATTTACTTTTAAAAGATATGTTTATATTTATATGCATGAAAAATATTATATATATTCATATTATGAATTAATAAAAATTATTATAATATTAACTTTTAATGACTATACTATATATATATATATATATATATATATATATATATATATATATATATTATGAGTCATTATAAATATAAAAATAGTATAGTCAATAAAAGTTAATATTAAAAGTTAATGACAAATAAAACGATTTTGTTATTTAATTAAGATAATATTAATTTATTTGTAGTCCTTATTAGAGGTGAAAAAGAAAGTACTACTTACCAATATAACTAATAAACATATAAATATCGTTTATTTAGTTTAATAACTATAATAAACGTAGAAAAAATTATGGAAATATGTTTCATTTTACTTAAAAACGGAAGATTATATATTGAAATTCATTAAATATATAAATATTGTTTCTTTTATTTGATCGCTAATATCATACGTAAAAAGAATTAAAAGGAATATGAAAAAATATTTCTTTTATCTAAAATTCCTATACAATTAATTAATTTTACATTAATAATATAATAATAAAATACTTTGAAACAAGAAAATTAAATGTAGAAACTTAAAAACATCATTACCACATCCTATAGATTATTACGGTATTAGTTTCTATTTCAAAACAGTCAAAATCTAAAGGGTAAATTACACCAATCGTTCCTCGTGCACATGCCACAAAACGTGTTTAGTCCCTATTTTCAAAAATTAATTCAGACCGTCCCTGATTTGTTTTTTTCTTGCATGCTTAGTCCTTATTGACATGAAATAACCATTTTACCCTTAATAATTTCTTTTTTCATTTCTTTTATTTATTCATCAGTTTTAAATTTATATATATATATATATATATATATATATATATATATATATATATATATATATATATATATATATATCAAGAAATCAAATCCGTTACTCCACAACTCCAAACCCTCTTCAAGACCTTAAACAAAGAAATCGATACATCCACAACCAAAATAATCTCTCAAAAAATTAATACATCATCAGCGATCATTCCTATCTCAAACCAACAAAAAAATTCCGTCGTTGAATCCCAGGAGCCCGTTTCCACCCCTGCAAATACGTGATTTTATAAATATCACATAAATCGTCCGACCTGGACTCTCCAGTCTCCACCGTGGTCTGAACTCATCGATTGCTCAAGAACGACGACCACCACCGATGTATGATTTAGATTTCGACTTCAATTTATGGAACCATCCCACCCCTTTCCTCCATACAGATCCAGCGAGACCCTAAACCTACAAATCGGAAAAAACCATAAACCTACAAATCAAACCTAACTAAACCCTAAACCTGCAAATTGGAACGAACAAGTCGCAGGAGAAGTAAAAGGATTCTGATCGACGTAATCAGATCGAGGAACGTGATGTCCACCGCCACCAGATCGAGGAGGATTCCGTCCACCAACATTTCATCTTCCTCATATATGGTGTAAGTCGACGGGGGGGCTACTCCAAGAAAACATGCTTTCTTTTCCGATGTGTGTGTGTGTGTGTTTTGGGTTTCTTGTTATCTCGATCAGAACACATGTTTGCATGTGTGTGTGTGTGTGTTTTGTATTGAAGAAGAATGGAGAGAGAGATAGGGGAGAGTAAGAGATGGGGAGGGAGAGACATCGGAGGTGGTGGTGGTATTTTCATTCGTATGAGAGAGATTTATATTAGAGAGTTGTTTTTTTAAGTTATAAACAATAATAAATAATATTAGATTAACTTAAATAAATATTTAAGGGCATAATGGTCATTTCAAATGTGGAGTGGACTAAATTTGCAACAAAAACACATATGAGGGACGAAGTTAGCAAGTTTTAAGCAAACGAAGGACGGTCCGAGTTAATCTTTGAAAATAGAGACTAAACACGCTTTCTAGCATGTACACAAGGGACGTTCGGTGTAATTTACCCAAATCTAAATCTCCATGTTGTGGAAGGAAATGAATATAAGCATTACTCTTAAAAGAGGTTAAATATCCTTTTCTACTTAGGGATAATGATTTAGAAGGCTAAATATCCTTTTCTGTTTGTTTATTTTATGTCTCTAACAAATTTTTTATACGTATTACACCATAAAGGTTATTATAACTGTTTACAAATAGTTCTTTTAATAGGAAAATACCGGTAAAAAATATTATTTCTAAACGGTTATAACAACCTTAATGGTGTAATACACACAAAAAATATGTTAGGAACCTAATATGGACAAACTGGAAACTTTATTACCCACTTAAGTTATTATCCCCATATGAAACTATAAACTCCTATAGTAAATTTTTACTTTTTAAACAAGAAACTTGTAGATCTTGGGGTTGGTAGTTTGGATGTTTTTAACTCGGTCTTCTTTATAAATGGAAGTGGCGGTTTCTTAATGACAAAGGAGCTCTTTGGGTTTAAATTGTCAAATTTTGTCATGGGGAAGGTGGTGTTTTTTCGGACGATTTGAGAATAGGAACTGGAGGGGTGTTTGGCAAAAGATTGTAGGATCCATTCATCACCTCCATGAGAATGGTTATATTCATTATAATTTCATGTATAGAATGGTGAGGGATGAGACTCAAACGAGGTTCTAGAAGGATGTTTGGTGCTTGGATATTCCTCTTAGGCATCGGTTTGGGAGGCTCTTTGCTTTGACCTTTAATCAAGATGCTCGAGTAAGTGAATAATGGGATTCGGGGGAATGTAATTTTCATTGGCGTCGGGGGAGTAGACAAGGGGCTAAATCGACCGAATATGATTATCTTGTGGAGATATTAAATCCTATTCGCATAGGGGAATTGCCGGATAAGTGGTCTTGGGAGATTGAATCATCGAGTATCTTTACTGTTAAATCGGCACAAAATTGGGTTAATGATATGACGCTTCCTATGGGTAGTATGTCTGCTAGGTGGAACCATTTTGTCCATATTAAAATTAACATTTTTCATGGTGTGTGCTTTTTGGATCGCATTCCGGTAAGAGCTAAACCGGTGGAAATAGGGTGATGATAGATTCCTTATTGTGTTTTGTGTGTTATAATTCTCAAGAAAGTGTGAAACATTTATTGCTGCAGTTTTTGGTTGCTAATCAGGTTTGGAGTCGGGTTAGGCAGTGGCTTCACTTGGAATTTCTTGTGTTTTCATCTATCCGTGATGTGGTGGATTGGGTGGATTCTAAATCGACTCTTTATATGGAACGCTCGATTGTTGAGTCGGTGTTCATGATGGTCATATGGATGCTTTGGACGTTTCGTAATTCTTTACTTTTTAGTAGCAATAAACCTAGAAAAGATATGCTCTTTGATTTTGCTATGGATCTTTTTTTTTCGTTGGTTTACGTTTCAGAATTCTAAGGCTTGGGTTAACTGGATAATGTGGTTACAAAATCCAATCCGGCCTTAATTTGTTCTTCTCTCTAGCTCCTTGGTAGAGGTTTTGTTTTGCTAGAGGTTAACTCGATGACGTGGTTACAAAATTCAATCCAATCCAATCTAAACTTTTCTACTTTTTATTCTTTTTAATTTCAACAACTTTATATGAAATACACATATATAAATAAATAATAAAAATCTTAAAAATATATATTCAAAATAATAAATACTAAAAATCTTAGGAGAGTAATAATGTTTCTTGTTCGTTCATTTTAGGTCCCTACGCATATTTTGTGTGTATTACATCATTAAGGTTATTCTAACCGTTTACAAATAGTTATTTTAACAGGAAGAAACTGGTAAAATGAATTATTTCTAAACAGTTATAACAACTTTAATGATGTAATACACACAAAAAATACGTTAAGGATCTAATATGAACAAACGGGAAACGTTATTACTCTTCTAAATTATTATCCCTTCTACTTATTCTACTACAAGATCGTTACAAATATAAAAATTAAATGAAGAAAGGGAATTAAGCGTATTAAAATCAAAAGATGAAAAAAAAAATTAATGGTTTACACATGTCAGTCATTGAAGGGATAAGAGGATGAAGCATGATGATTAAATAAGAAGCAGTTTAATTTTCCTTTTTTTTCTTATTTTCATATTTTGGTTTGAAGAACATTAATGGTATTATGAAACAAACATAATATTATTAATTTTTAAATTTTAGTGTTAAAAATTGAACCTAGATATTTTTAACGTGAGTAAATACCTAAATCAACACAACTACAATATATAAGGTTTTTTTCATATAAAAACTAAAATATAGTTTTTTGTTTGAGTTAAAGTTGAAAAAAGAAATTTTTTGTATAATGAATCAAACTCATGTTCGTAAAATAAGAAACAAGTATGACACCTTGACAAAATATATTTAGATTTTTATAAGGTTTAAGTTATTTTTGGTCATTTAACTTTTAGTTTTGTGTTTATTTGGTCACTAAACTCTTTGTGAGTTTTAAAAGGTTATCAAACTTGTGATTTTGTGTTCATTTAGTCACTTAACTTTTGGTTTGGTCACTTAACTTTTAGATCTGTACTCATTTAGTCAGCTAACTTTT